ACCCCGCCCGGCGACGCGGAGGGGGCGGTCGGGTGGGGTCGCCCTGTTATCTGGCGGCGTGGGCAGAGCTGCGCCTGGCTTTCCGCGGGTCCCCGCGTTCCTGGGGCGGGAGGCTCTCCCCCTGGGTCTGGGCTAAGCAGGGGAGGGGGAGGCAGGGCTGAGAGACCGGGAGGCCCCCAGAATCGCAGCCCACCGGACAGACGCCCCCGGCTCCCCGGGGTGGCCGACCCCTTGCGCCCGGGCAGAGACGGGGGACAGTCTCCTGGGCTCCCCCACCCCCGGACGTCCCCTCCCACCAGGCTTGCCGTGTTCTCTTCCACACCCGGGGGAACTGCAGGGCGGTCGGTCCACTGGGGGGCAGTGCCTATCCCACGTGCCAGGAGGCCTGGCCGGAGCCTGACCGTGGCTTCCCGGACCGACTGGGTCTACACAGCGGAGGCTCAGATCCAGAGGTGGGTCAGGGCCCACTTGTGGTCGGGCATTTCGCTGCCTTGGGATACAAATGACGGAAAAGGAACCTGGGGCGTGGAGAGCAGACGGGCAGGCAGGTGGCCCCGGGTCCGAGAACACTGGATCCAGGACCCACCAGGGCCGGTTGTGATTCACCCCAGAAGCGCATCTGCCCAGAGTGGGCTTCCTGTGGCCGCCCCAGGGCAGAGGCCAGGGCTCCTGTAAACGGGCTGTCCGGGCTAGCTGGCTGGGCACCCCTGGAGAGGGAGTGTCCCCAGGAGAGACAAAGCCCAGGAGCTGCCGGGCCCCTGTGAGTCGTGCTGACTCGGCAGGTTGGAGAGGCAGGCAAGGCCTTTCCTGGCCGGGTGAGGCCCTTCCGGCCTGGGCAGCCTCCCCAGGGAGTGAGGGTGGTTAGGGGCTGGCATGGGTCTCAGCCTCCCTGCGAAGCCTCTTAGGGGCTGGTGGTGCTGCCTGGCGGCCTGGGGGAGTCCTGGTTGGGTTGGGAGGACCACAGCAGGGCTTTCCGGGGTGGGCATGACTTGGAGACTGCAAGTTGGCTCAACTTCCCCCGAGAACTTTCACCTGACCTTGAGTGCCTGTGTCACCATCACCAGCTCAGCTCTCCTCTCCTTGAGTTCCCTGACTTGGTTTCAGATTTGCACGGTTGCCCGGTGATGGCTGAGGGTGTCACCACAGCCACGCGTGTTTCTAGGACCAAGCGGGAACTCTGTGGCTCTCAAGGCCTCATTCACACCTTTGAGCCGGGTCCACTCCATTCTGTATCATCCCTGTTGTTTTTCTGTGTGCTGGTGTTTTCTCCCCAGCTGGACTGCAGCTTCCTGGGGGGCAGGACGGTTTATAGATGTTTTTGTGTCCTCTGAGCAGAGGGGAAGGAAGAGAGGGGAGGAGGGAGTTGGGGAAAGCTCAGGTGTCTGCAGTTACTCACTAGTGAGCGTGGACACAGACCGGTGAGCGGATCACACCGCAGGCTGATTTTTAAAAAATAAATCCTATAATTGTTTTGAAAATAACACGCTCACATGGCCGCATTTTTTCTCTTACGAGTATTACTTTTAACAGAAACGTAGACACTGGAAATAAGCCACAATTTTGTTTCCCTGCTTTTGTCTTCCTCCTTGAACTCATTAACTTCCTCCTTTAACTCATTAACCTCACCCTTTAACTAGCCCTGGAGAAAGCTCGGCC